AATCTTTATACCTCAGAAAGGGCACAAGCCATGGCCGAAGCGCATCCTCAGTCGACCTAATTGGTGCTATCCCAATAGTTCTGGCAGTAAGGACCATGAAACACGAGTTTTCCCAGCACCAATTAATTTAGCATACTAACCTCCTAATGTTTATAGCTCCTGCAGGGAACTATGAGTTCGCCCACAATCCTTGGCGTGACCGACCTTATAGGATAACATAAGGATAAAGGAAAGAAGCTAGGAATAAAAGCTAGGAACGTTCCAGTCTGTCCCTCCTATACTGCTCTGCTTCTGTGCTGATCATTTCTAGCTCTACATCTCCACCAAATCCATCATGATTGCAGCTCAATCCAACTTTTGACCAACTGCATCACTGAGATGACATCATGGATGTGAAATCCCTTACCTAAACCTCCCCTACCTTCAGCCTCACCATTGCTAGGCCTCTCATCTACAACCTCTGAGTTGTTTTCCGCAGTAGCCTTTCCTATGGATGCCATGTTCTCCGCAAAAAAAACCTTCTTCCATTTAAATCATATTGCACGTCTCACGTACCCATGACTCGTCTTATTGACCGCTAGAATTGTTGTGGTTGTTAGAGATTCTTCATTGAATCCAGGAGAAGAGGAGGGTTGAGACAGGTGTGGCGATAGATACTGTAGGACAGATGGACAGAGACAGACAGGTATCTCACCCACTCCTTGTCGCTGTTCAGGATGGCTAAGTGAGCATTCTTGGTCTCACACCAGGTCTTGGACTGGTTCCAGGGTAGAAGCTGTTTGCTGAAGAAGTAGCAGTCCGACCCAAACAGAGTCCAATCCAAAGGACAGCATGGTCCTGATGTGGAGGCTGAGACACACACAGAGACACTCAGACAATGTGGACAGAGGGAGGACATCACATTTCTGCCTGTCCATACCGTTCTGGATGATGTGTTTGAAAGAACATTCCAGAGCCTCCACCTTCTTCCTTAGAGAGTCGAGCTGTGGCAGCTCCTGAAGGGCTGCTGACACTGAGTACACACAGACAGACATGTTCCTGGTTCTGATCCAACCCACAGAGTTCTGAACAGTGACGAAAACACACAGACCTGATGAGATTTGGTCCTTGTTGTCCTGAATGCGGAACTTCAGCTGATGGATTTCTTTAATGGATTCTAGAGGAGAAAATATTCTGGATATCAGTAACTGCAACACAGAACCAGAGGTTCAGGTTTGTGTGCTTTTATTGTGAAAATCCTGCAGTGACAATGTCCGGGTTTTACCATGAGCCTGCTGCAGAGATGCGTTTAAGGACTCTATCTTGTCGTACAGGATGGAAACCTCCTCCTCTGCAGACCAAAGGCGCGTTGAGGTCTTCGTGTCTGATCGCAAAC